ATTTCTTAAGCTCCAGTTCTTTCATTAACCTGATAACCTTCCCCCAAAACAATATCAATAAGTCACATGTTCTTACACATAAATCTTTCTTTCCTATTTGTGATGGCCATTTTACAAGCTTCTTGCGAGGGTCCTGAGGTTAAGTGTGGCGAAGATTTCGAATTCACACATTTTGACACATATTGGTGTATTGGTGTCTGGTTGTAAGTGTTTGATTTTGGCCAATTGGGTCAGGCCTTTGATTGATCCTTGCTTACAGGTCAGGTAGTTCAACACATATAGACTTTACCTCTACCATATGACCTCACCGTAGCCTCCACTTTGTCCTAGGTGACCTGGAAAAACCTTGTATTGACCAAACGGTAATGATAAATGGAAAAGGGCCTAATGGAAAGGGCTCAGGCTCAATGAGGAAAGATTTGGCTAGCTTTAGTGTTCAACCCCAGGGTTTCTATGTGTGACTTAAATAAAGCTGGAATCAATTATTGTATAGTTGACAACCAGGTATTGGTAATGGACACTATTGTACTTTTGCGAAAATGTGCTAATTTGGCCCTAAATTGGACTCATTGGTCTATAAGAGTAGTGTAGTGAAGTTGGCTATTTATACAATTGAAGTGTCCTCAAGCTACATTAGCTATTGCATTGCCATTTGTGGTCGAACATGACCTTTTAAATCCCCTTAAAAAATAATAAAAACATCACACACACAACCAACCACAATTTGATATTCAGTCTGTTTTTCAGTTCTCCAGTTCTCCCAGAACCCAAATGAAGACAAAATGAAGTCTTATTACTCCTTCAGCTGCATTTTTGAGTATTCAAGCTGGATGAAGGCATTTCTACAGGATGTTGTCAGCAACCCGATCAAAGTAAAATATGTGTTTTGATAGCTGAAACAAAAAATAACAGAACATAATCAGAAGTTACTAGCATCTTTATCTTTAAGTCTGTCAAAAGTTGTTGATGAGAAGTTGTTGATGAGAAGATTGAATGTCATATATAACAGCGTGACGCACACCCATAGCATTTCTTGATTGCTTAAAGAAGCAATTTGCTTATTACTTAAAGGCTGAAAACACCCAGTGTGTAACAAACCTGGAAACATCTGTTACAATAAAGCAATAGCCTTTAGGGGGAAGAAAGGTTGTGGATAAGAGGAACAGATTCAGAGTTGGCACCATGTCACTTTTCATTTTTGCAGAAAATGGACACATCACTGCACTCACACTTGACACGGTGACACTCTCAGCAAATCTCGAGCTTCAGGTTTTCTTTTTGCTCTTACTCTCTGACATCCTGAAGGTTTTTACAGTAGAGCACACCTGTCAGTTCCTCATTATAATCATTATAAGCTTCTGTCTCTCACATTCTCAACGTCCATTTCTCTCTGTACTTTCTCTCTAAGCCGACTCACCTTCTGCGTCTCTCCCACCACTCTCTCCCTCTACGTGGTGTCATTTTGTTTGGCAGGTCTTTGAGTCCCCTGTCGAAGAGAACAGAAGCAAAGTCTTAATCTCTCATCGTCTGGCTGTCTTTCCACCTTGGCTTTTAAAGAAACTCAGCAGGGCTATGTTGAATTTGTCTACCCATTTTTCTTCCTGTCATTCTTTCAGATGTTCTTTTTTAAGACTCTCCCTCTGTGTTTATCTGGAAGCTATTAGTCTTGTTCTACTCTCTTAAACAGGCAGATTTACTGGAACTGGATAACAATGTAGCGATACTTTTTAAAATTAAATATATGTATTTTCAAGACATTTAACATAACAATACAATCAATAAAACAATATTTATATTTATTAAGACCCTTTTATTTACTTTTGACCTGTGATTATCTCAGCGTTTAATATAAAGGTGCCCTATTCGTTACATACTACACCGTAGTTGTGTATTCGATATGACAATAAACCTCTGAATCTTGAATCTATTATGCTTTTCTCTTTCCTCCAGTCTGTTTTATAGGATGTTGTGCATCTAAATGGTCTGCAAAGTCTCAAATCCCAAAGTTACCTCCAGAGGGAGTGTCTCTCCCACTCACCCCCCCCCTGCCTGAAATGCCTCCATTAGGCTCTTTTGTTTTCTTCCGTAACATAGTGACATCATTATGTAACACCCACTCTTCTATTTGCTACGATCACACATTTTACGTAATAGGCTAATGGGCGGGACATCTCATAGTAGTTGACCAATCACAACAGAGCCGGCCAGCTAACCAATCAGCAGACTGGGCTCTGGTTTCAGACAGAGGGTGAAAAGAGGTGCCGAATATGTCCTCTTAAGGATTGACTGGTTCAGACCAACCTTATTGAATCCTGGGACCCTGTTCCCCAAACTTCATCAATTAGTATTTGGCTGTTCAAATGATAGAACTCGAGACTTAATGTTTTTATAAAAGGTTGATCCATGGAGTTATTGGACAATACTTTGCAACAAGCAGCCTGACAGAAAGGGACAAATACGATCTATTTGTCTTTAAATGAAGTCACTTATGGTAACACAACCAAAGAAAGGTTTTACACTTGGACAGAAGGTGTAATTTAAGTGATGAAATGTAAATAGATGAACTTTAAAAACAGAAATGGGGAATGGATATTGAGGAAACATAAAAAGATGCACCTTACAACAAGCAAGTTTCAAGGAAAAGCAAAAGTCAGATGATTGTTCATTATGAAGATAGACGATGAGAAAGATGTGTGTAGCGGCAATGACTCCCTATGAGTTAGCTGCTGAGAGGATAACAAGTGCTCTTTGCTGTGACGCGTTCCATGTAAGAGTCCGTAGTCATTTGTAGTCCATGGTGTTTAATAAAGATGAAAACAAACAATATGCAACTCCAGAGCTGACGGTCAACAGAAAGTATCGGAGCAAATTCACCCTCTTCCTACATCATATCCTCCCAACCGGCATCCAACAGGTGACTAAATACCAATAAACCACATCCACGTGACCATTGCCGGAAGTGATAAACAATAAGAATTAAACGCGATGCAAACAGAAATACAAGATAATAATACAAATAATAAGTAAGGCAAAAACAAGCATTTTGGCTCCTACAGTGTGTGTTAGATGGAAACTGGGAATGTGACAGAACATGAATGTGTGAGAGACGTTGGTGCAGAATAGTGAGATATGGATGGGGAGGGGAAAAGAAAGGTGCGATATTGTATAACTCGATATTATTCTGCTGTGTGCCTGGAATAGAAAGGGCACACACAAAGTATGTTTATCTACCGTAAAACACACACGGTTAAGTAAAGCTTGAAGTTAAGTTTCACTATTTAGCTTTTCCTGTTACATTTACAATTGAATTAGCTGAATGCTTTGGTCCAAAGCCAAATCAAAACGAGGTACAATCCAAGCCACAGCAGATCAAGGAGAAGCCTTTGAGAATAAGTGCCTCAACACTCAGTTCCACCTGTCACCAGTGCCACAGGGCCTGCAGGTGCACAAAGTAACATTTAAGTGGCGAGAAAATTACTTTTTTTTTTCAGAGAAAGATCAAGACGGAGTTCGAAAGACCAAGACCTTTTCTTTTGCTTCTCCTGTTCCTAATGTATCAAACACCCCATGCAGAAACTTACAGTAACAATCTGCTTTTAATCATCAGGTCGGCCTTGAAAAAAAAAGATGCAGTCTCTGGACTTCTCTGCTCTCGCTCCTACATAATCTTTTAGTTTAAAATGTTGGTATCACTTTACACTTTAGAATTACATTTTCATAATGTCGGCGTTGTGTTTTTTTTGCTTTCTTGTGCAGAAGAGCCATCCAGTAAAATCGAAGTGCAGTGACTCACATCTACAGTATGTGTGTGTCTACACACACTTTTATACAGTTTGTGTCTGTTTGCACGCATGTGTGTGCTTCTGTCTGTATAACTGTATGTTGCGTACTTGATGGTTCCAGTGTAGCAGGAAGCCTCTGGCTTTACTGGCAAAGTCCCCTTTCTTTACTCTTGGCCACTACACACACACACACACACACACACACACACACACACACACACACACACACACACACACACACACACACACACACACACACACGCTCGCAGGTCTATTCAGGCTTTACGTGGAGGCCCCTAGAATACTTTGTTGACACGCTCTGTGCTATGTTAGGCTAAACGCAGACTCAGTGTAATGCTCAATAGACAGGGATTCAGCTATATAACACAGTTGGAACTAGCAGCGCGTCACACACACGCAGAGACAGACCCGAATGGAAATACTGTTAATCAGTAGACACACACTGTCGCAGAAATGCTGGGCTCCTTGGACGTGCTCTATAGCGTCCTCATCCACAAGGTAACAGAAATGGTGTATAAAACAAAGACACACATTTACAACAGGATTTAATGGATTTTTTTCTTGCATTATTTAAAGAAATAGAACAAATGCGTTATATTTTATTTACTGTGGTTTCTTACAATCATAAAAAGAAATGTGTAGGTTGTCCTTTAGCTTAACCTTCTGTAACTGTTATCATACACCTGTTGCTGAATGCAAAATATGCCAATAGTTTTAACATTACGTTACGTGTCTAAGCATGTTTTCCTTCATGTCAATTACTGTAATATGCTTCCAAAGATAGGCATTTTGAAATGGCTTTTCTTTATTCTGTTACTGTAATCATACTGCTGTTGATAATGGCAACATATAACTCAAGTTTAAAACAAATGAAGTACATGAAGGTACATTTATGTCAGATTGAGCTCAGGGTTATTCCCAATCTGCTAGCCTCTGTTCGGATGTTGTCTTTGTGTATTCATGTTGCCTTTGGTATTGCGTTGTACTGTGAAATATATGTGAATTGCAGTGGATAAAGTGTATAGAAGTATCTTCTCTTTCAGTGTGAGTCAAGAGACTGTGAGTGGAGTTACATAGGAATATTTGAATAGATATCCTGCTGCTACACTCTGATTAAATGCTGTGCTCAAAATGATGAACAGAATAAATAAAATAAAACAAACAATCATCTACATTGTATTTCTTCTTTACTTGTAGCTGATGGCGGTGTATGAGGAGCAGGAAGCCCAGCAAAGGGGTGTGGCTAACACAAGGTTAGCGCCGAGCCCAGATGTCTACCAATCAGAGCTCTCCGTCTTCCAGCCAATCGCAGGGGGAGAGATTGAAGTCAATTCCTCCGTCCTCAAGTCCAGTGAGTCCTTTTTTCTTTTTAATGTCTGTATTTGGTAGAGCCCCACTCTAATCTTGACATGCGGAATTTTCTTTTCTTTGCACATAGTATAGTATTAGGAGTGAGGCTTTGTCATTTGGTAACTCTTTCCGTTCTTTCTTTTAAAGTATTAAACCTGATTTAGTACTATGTGTTCTTTCCAAGGGTATTTGCAAAAGAATGTTATTTTACAAAGTTGTAAAAGCAGGATATTTGTCACCCTTTGTACTCTCTGGTATATTAAACTGTATTTATCCAAGCCATAGAAATGTGCTGACATGTATTATACCTGCTCTTTAGAGAGCAATGAACTAACCATCAGTTATGTTCTGGCATTTGTCATTGCATCACACCATTTTGTCTGACATTATCTATCGATAAAGAGATCAACACTCCATGAGTGTGTAGTATAAAAACAACACAAGTGTTCTTAATCCTCTCCTGACTTTTTCTTAAGACCATGCACCTAGGTAAAGTTATGAAAGAAATCCCAACTCTGTTTCTTGGACTTTGTAATATCAAGGTTACAGTAACTGACACATGGTCTAAATGCTTTTTCAAAGGAAAAAGATATCTTGAGGGAATCTGTTCCAACCTTTTAGGTATAATCTGTAGGTCAGTGCATGAAGAGGGCAATGTCAAAACTGATGTTAGACGAGAAACCGCTTCACTGGGACTGACTTTAGATGTGGAGGCTGCCTGCTAGGCCGTGTTGGTAAAAGGACAGAAGTGAAGTCTCAAAACACCATATTGTTATAATCATTCAATTCAGAATTAAATTAATATATAATAAAGTACAGGTTTGACCACTTATATAGTGGTGTATTAATCCTACACCTGGATTATAAATGAGCATTTTAGCACTTCAGGGCTCCTTTGAGTTAAAGTCAACTGAAAAAACACCCCACTGTTGAACGTCTAAAGATTTTACGTGTCTTTGAAATAAGCGGTTGCTAACAAATGAGACTACTAAACGTTATTTTGCCGAACTCAAGTCCACCTTTAGTTTAGAGGGGTCGACGTGAAGTCATGCGACCAATGATGTAGTTCCACTCCTAGCATTACATTAGCTATTTACATCTGGCAATTGCATTTGTGCTTCAAGCCGGAGTAAGAGATTATTTGTTATAATATTCCAAAATCCAATAGAAGAGAAATCTAACTGCTTTTAGTCAAGGGAGCCCTTGCGATGCAAACTCTTGCATCGGCCTACACACATACCACTGCTCCACTCTACTGGGTACAAAATATTCTTAAATATCCTTTGAGAGCTAAGAACCATGTTTTATTAGGAACGATGTTACCTTTGAATTACAGTGCAGATAAAAGCTCCGGATGTGATGGCCATGTTCTGCAGGACAGTGATTGAAAACAAGAGCTCAAATGTTGGCACCACCGTCCCTGAGATGCAGAATGAGATGGGGATGAAAGAGAATCAGATGAAGAGAGGACAGGAAGTGTATGTGTAACGTCAGGCGGCGGCAGAACCAACTGTGATGTCTGCGTCTGCTTACTGTTAACTATCTGAATGACCTTTCCCTACCTCTCTCTGGCTCCTCTTTCCCTCTTTCCCCTCATTTCTTTCTGTCTTATGTCAAGGCAAGTGCTTATGCAGTTGAGGTACTGTAGATGTTAGTGTGAGAGGGCTTAAAGCTGTCACAGTAACTTGTCCAAATGTAATTTTGCCTTAACATAACAAACCATGGCGTGATGGATTACTTGTACCTACAGTTCTCCAAAACCCGCCGTGCGCTAATCACAGACTCCACTCCCTTTAGTTTTGAATGATAGACTCCATATATGCTTTGTTGCTCCATCCATCCAGATGACATTTAAACACAATCTGTCGAGGTTGTTTTCAAAATGTCATTAATATGGCAAATGAAGTGTGATAATGCTCATCCATCTCTTGTAGGTTGTATTCTATTAGCCAATTTCATTATTTTCCACGCTTTTGATGACATAGTAATTTCTTATTTAGCTTAAACGATGTTGAGCTCAAGGACTACCACGCTTATCAAAAACCATAGCTTAAGTAACATTTGCCCTTTACTCCTTGCATGAGATCTAATTTCACATACTTTAGATATGACAACAACAATCGTGTATCTTGTACAGATACTACTAGTTCTGACATAATTGACATTTCATCTTGTATGACCTTCCTGAGTGAAGCTGTATGATCCAGACACCGTTAAGACAGGAAGTTTAGTCTGTTTCACTATGGCCGCCTGTCAGCAGAGATTAGTTTTAATGTGTGACTGTCATGGCAGATTAGAGGTAAGGGAGATCTGGAGACTATCACTGTCAGAGTGGGAAGGTCAGACTGAGGCCTCGATCCCCGTCTCAACCACTTGTTTCTCTTTCACTGTCTCTGCAAGTCTCTTTCTCTGTTTGCCTTACTAATTGTTTCTGCTTCTCACTGTCTTCCGCTCTCTGTCCCTTCACTTATTTTTCTTTATTTCTTAACAACTAGTTCACACAAAACTTCAATAAAGGAAGACATCAATAACGCACATAATCAGAAACAGAGTAACTATGATACAATGTCAGCAGCACAATGGATAGAGAAGAATGCTGTGTTGTTTCATGTGGTTCACTTTACACGACTTATGTAGCTGCTGTAATGGTTTTAGCTACAAATGTTACCGTTAATAAAAGTAATGCCTATTGTCAAATACTTGGGGTCGGGCTAAATGGAGATAATCAAATACTCTATCGATACTTGGCAATATTGACGTTTAACAACGAAAACATACTTTTTGATAAATAATCATCAGCACTGTGTATATAATCGCTAATTAGGTAAAGAGAAATCATTCGAACAGCTTGAACAGTTGGGTAAGTTCAGAAAATGATTTCACTTACTGTAATGCAGCCTTTAAATTAAGAAAAAACACTTAAGACTTTTTTAGAAACATAAATCTAAAACAATATGTGTATGCGTTACTGATGCTTTTAAACATATTGTGATATATTGTCTATCTAATGCCCAACCCGACAAATAGTTTGCATACATTCAGATGTGGTCTAAAGTTCATTTAATGCTTTGTTAATAAAGCTGCTTGAGTTAAACAAAGCCCGATATAGGCCTTTTTTTCACAAAATACATTTTGACATGTCGGAGTGGGAAAGGCACAGGTGTAAATAAGGACAATACATTGATCTTCATTTCATTTGGCTTCTTCAGTTTCAGGGTTCCTGATATTGTTCTTGCTGGCCTACTGCCACACTGTCATGGCTTACTGTGATAGGAATGGCATATAGTTCAGCTGGGAATAGTAGTATTACTGCAGTCAAATGGGGTATGGGGGATTACTAGGTCATCGGACTTCGATACAGGCAAATGGACAGAAAGATATCACTGTATGTCCCTTAATACAGTGGAACATTTTCGCCACTTCTGCTTTGGTGTCTTGACATGTCTGCTTCAGGGAAGCACTGGGGAGGTGATATGTTGCAGTGAACCAATATGTCATAGCATTGAAGTCAATTTGATCCAAAGGCTTCTTTATTTTTTGTCTTAACAATTTTTTTAATGAATTTATTGTTCTTTTATCTCCCTTCATTTCTATAATTTTGAACCCAGCCACATTTTTATATATATATATCAATGTTCTTTGTATCTCTCTTATTATCCTCTCCATTGTTAGTCCCTTCATTTATATATCTATTTCTCATTTTGACATCCCTTTGTCCTCTGTCCATTTATCCGTCTTTCATTGCCTTTCTTTAAAAAGATTCATTCATATGGGGTTTGATGTAATCCATACCCCCAGCCAGTCTTAAGAGCACCTAGGGTCCATTTTGTGACAATCAATATACGACCCTACAAATATCATTTGGCATGTGTTCTGAGTAGTCCACTCATAGAGAGGTTCCCTCCACCCTCACCCCCCCACCTTTCTCATTCAATTCCCAGTGGAACCATAGAGGCTAACATGACAATGGTCTTAATGTATATATGGATTTATGGACCCTATGAATGGGGATGGTAGATATGAGGATTGGCGGTGCGACACACGGATCATAAGCTATAAATGTTATTTATTTGGATAGCTTTCTGCGTTGTTGACTTTTCCCGCAATTTCACTATTTCTTCAAGCTCCAGCAGAAGCACAGGCAATAGTGTGGTGCGCCTCATCCGTCAGCTGTGGTTAAATGATGATTTTATGCAGTGTGCTGATGGGATGTGGAGAAGGAGACACTATCATATGTTACTTACATGCACACGGAGAACTGCACATCGGACATTTATTGGCCATTTGGGCACTTGAACACCAGTGTGCTCACTGAAGGGATATTAAAGAAAGGGTTCATCATACATTAGCTTCTCACACATGTGCTCCTTACAGGCCTAATGAACACACACATCTCCACAAACAACATTCAAGAATGAGTTCTCTGATAACACTATGTAATCAACAGATATGGTCAGGGATACATAAATGTCTCATGGGTAATGACATTGGATGATTAAAAGAAGCAGTAATGAAAACCCTTAGGCTTCATTTACATAATGAATATTTTAGCTTCATGCTTTCCATCTTCGTTGGACTTTGATCCTTTTCTAAATGTCCGCTGCCCACCAGTCATATCACGCTATTAATTATGAAGAAAAATGTTTGACCGACCAAGAGCTGCAGCTGGTCACATCTAAGCATGTTCCAAATCTTATCAAATAAGACACAGATTAAGTTCAACATACTGTGGGCAGTTATAGACGTCTACCAATTGGAGGGTTAGAAGCTTTCCAGAATGACTCCTGTAGGCATTTTTACCGCTTAGAAGTGTACTCTATGTAAGTAGCGTTGGATAAAAGCACTAGCTAAATGACATGGAATGTAAAAAACCTGCAGCTGCCTCAATGAACCCCAATGCAACTATTGTGCTACCATGCTCTAAGTCATGTGCTCTATGAGCTGCAGTTTCCATGTTGTTAATAACATGTTATAAGGATCGTTTACTACACTAAATGTGGGCATTTGCTCTTTTGTTTTTTTGAAACACACTTTGGCTTGGACTGATGTCACTGGCACGCTGCACTGACAGAGTGGACATTTATTTTGTCAACCGAGCAACATAAAAACATTCTTCTCTCCTCTCTCTTCCTACATCATCGTGCTTTGACACTCTTAAAAAGAAGCACACACACTCTCTGAAGTGTGGCAGGACCGGCTCAGGCTTTGTATCTTGTCATCTGAAAGATTATTATTAGACATGAATTTAGCTGAACTGCGACTCCATCAAAAATAGCATTAGCAATTTTAAGGCAGGTGTGTGTGTGTGTGTGTGTGTGTGTGTTTGTTTGTATGTGTGTTTATACACACACTGCAGGTATCAGCAAGACTTACTGTTGAGATTTTCTCAAGCCTTGAAAACACAATATGTCTGCATTATTCTTTCTCTTTCCTTTCCATCATATCTCTTGTTCCATTAACAGTCTGACAGGAAGAAGTCACTGTCATATTGGAATGACAGAGATCCAGGTTTATCTGGTTTTTAACTGAGCACAGCTTGAACAAATATAGCAGATGTAACATGGATTAAAGCAGAATTTATTTTACAATTTCGTGTAGTAAATATTGTTGCAAGTCATACATTGAAGTTATTTTTCTGCAACAAAACTGCTGTTCAGTGAGTGGTTATTGGAAAGTCTTTACATTCCTCCTGCAGATACCTCCTAAAAGATAATAAACAAAGGAAGGAGAGAAAGGAGTGATTTACAGGCTGTACTGTACCACATCTGCTTTAAACATTTTGGCTAGTTATCCACTGTAAACATTTTATACACATACATCTCTGCTTCTGCTTAGAACAACTTTGAACCCAGCTGTGGAACTACTTTTGTAAGGCTGTGGTGACATTTGCAAAAGTATAGACGAGCAATGCTGTTACTAATCTCAAATGTGCTTCCTTTTGTTGATCTGGATGTGTGTCATTTTTAGAGAAAAAACAACTGAAGAGTACACATTATGACTTTGCCATTGATCTTTAATGGTAGGCATAGATAGAAAAACTACATATATCAGATGTGTGCGTTTTCTTGTGTTTTCTACAGACACCCCCCTGTTGGTGAGAAGCAGCAGTGACTCAGCGCTGAGCCCCCAGCCGACAGACTCTGAACCCCCCCTCAGTGAGGACACCACCGGGATGGTAAGACCCCAAGGCCCTCAAACAAAAGACACACAGACACATGCAGTTTGACCTGGCATCGTTCCGACAAATAGTGTTTTTGGTTTGGTACATTTTATTGTTATGTGAATTATATACTGCTCAGTAAACCACCTGTTACAATTTAAAAAAGTTGCCTTTCAGTGCTTTTGCATACACATTTGGTTATCTGGGGTGCCTACCAGCGTACACACTGATTAGTTAGTTATTTTTTGTTAGTAAGTTAAAGTAATTATTTTGTGGGATGTCCAGGGGCCTCATTTATAACGCTGTGCGTAGGATTCACGTGGGAAGGTTGCTTACGTAGTACAAAGCAAAAAAATAGGTACAGAAATGTTCCGACATTTTCCGATTCACCAAACATTGCGTACCGGCGAGGAAAGTGCGTACGGCACTTCCTACGCCGGTTTGCCTTTATAAATCACAATCGACTCGAAATGCGGTGCAGCTTCTGCGGGCTTCACGTAACGCCCATATTTGCCTATAAATAGTCAAAGAAACGCCCATTCATTCATTCATTCTGACTGACTGCATGAAGAAGATCGCAGGAAATGACGACAGAACAGCTAAAAAAGACATCTCACACCGTGTCAGATTTTGGTTATTTTGGGGAGGTGGAGATAAATCATATTGTTTGGTGGATGCAGTTTGAACAGGGGAGCAGCATGGAGGTCGGATCGTCACCAACATAAATAAATAAGTGGTCCGAAAAAGGTTCATGACAAAAACAATACACAGCCTTCCTCAGGCAGTGTGTTTGTACCGGGGACAGAGACCCCCCCTTGATGAGAGACTCTAAGAAATGATTGGGGAATCCCTCCGGAGTGGAGTCATGACGACTGGATCTGAATTATTTGTTTGTATTTGGTGGTTTGTGTCCCAGCTGTCGATCAGCAACTATATATCCATAATCCACCAGTTAAAGGAAATACAACTAATGTGTTGTATTATATCAGCTGTACAATTGACCACATATTGTGTTCTTAGTTTCCATACCTCCTGTGTTTTACGAGCGACTTGTCAAGTCTTGGCAAGCGGCATAAGGATTAAACGTGTTAGTAGCCTATATAAAACCATGCTCGTATCTACAACCTATAGAAATGCAAAACGGCGTCAGTTTAGACGTAATTCTGTCCTCCTGCTTACCGCATCATTTATGAGAAAACATTTCATAACATTAACACAACATATTCGAGGTGGTTTTCAATAACATATCTGTATTTATTTATTTCTCCAAGTTATGTTTTTGTGTGCACTGAGGAGTCTCAAACAGGCGTTTGTTTAATCCTTTTAAGATTGGCTTTAATCAATGTTTGAAAATGAATTCTTCTTATATGATAAATGAGAGGTAACATTCTATTTATGGTATTATTTCCACATATTTCTCTCCATTCTTCCTTCTGCCAACGGTGTCGCAGTTTCTCGTCTCTCCCGTTGTTGTGCTTAGTGCGTACGCATGGGTTAGAGTTTGCGTGGAGGACCGCACATTTTCCCGTCAAGTTAGTTTTTTATAAATCGCGAACATTGCGTAGAAACTGGCGTACGCCATTTTTTTGCGTATATCCCTTTTATAAATGAAGCCCCAGGTCAGTATGTCCCACATTGCTTGAGAACTATTTCTCGCAATAACAGCCATTCAGTCCACACTTGCCTTTTACTGACAAATCTAAGAAAGGTTTTGTGTGTTTTGACATTAAATTAGGTAAAAACAGTTTTAGTTAAGACCAACATTTTAATGACTTTTGTCAATTATGCTCATGCAAAATAGATAAGCTTTTGTGTCATCTGTTGATATTTATTTTGTTACTACTTTTGTCCCACTATTAACATAATGTCAGTTAACAATGACATTTTGTGGGCCCCTCAAAAAAATTATTTTAAACAATTGCTGTGCCCCATGTCTTACACCTCTGTTGGGTCACAGTGAGCACTCCGGCATAGTGAACAGAAGAATCTAATTGATACATTGCAATGACATTTACTGATTACATTATTTTTCCCCACAAGCACTTTTGCTGAAACTCCTAAAAACGTTCCTCTTTCCTTTGGTGTCAACAGGACACTATAACATGTGAGAAACATGTGTCTCAGTCATTTAAAGCACTGACAACATCATCTACTTAAAAATGATTTGGTTAACTTTAATGCGCCCCAGTAACTTACTGTTTCATTCACATTATTAAGATAATACTTTTTAAAGAGGTCTAAAAGACAACTGATTGGCGTGCAATTTATATCATGAAGTCCGATACGGTCGACTTTTCCATTGTGTCATAATAGGTGCATAAGGTTTTGCAAGATATTGATTTAGTTTGAAGAATCATAATGGACTTTGAGCTTTCTCTTTGCTTTGTAATCTAATAGGCAGAGCACTATGAAACTGCTAAGCTCATTAATACTCCCCGGGGGATAAACACTTTGATTTTAATGACCCCGTGGCCTTTCCTCTAGTAGGTCTCCCAAGATGCTCCTGATGATAATGTTAAGAGCTTACCACATTGTCGATATCGTCTTTTTTATACTTAATACTTCACAACCTAACCATGTATTTCCCATTGGAATGACCACATTTATCCAGAAAAATTGATACATTGAGACGCTTATTAAAGTCGCCTTTCAATTTAAGACCAACCTTGGCAACCATAATGTTATACATGTCTGTCATTCAATTTTGTCAGGCCTTATTCTTTATCTAGCAAATCCTCACATACATACTGAACACACATTGCACAGGTCATATTGCACGGATAAGCATTCAGAATAATTGATATAGGACAGTAATTCAATTCGCCACCTAAAGAAATATCTCAACTAGCCAGTTAAATATGCAATTAGCTGTCCATACTGGCATTGGTTAAACTAGTAATAAGTCACTTTCCCCCCGTTTTCACCACAAGTGTAACCCTGACCTACGGCAGCAGCGTGTTTCTGTGTGTTTCTGTGTGTAGTGAGTATGTGTGTTTAAAGGTCGGGGGGGGGGGGGGGGGGGGAGTAGATCCTGCAGTGTCTTCATGTCCTTTCTAATCCAGACACGCTTTGTCACATCAAACTCTTCGAACAAAGACGGATGACTCTCTCCAGTTCTTTCCCTTCTCATCTTTACTCTCCCTTTCTCAAAAGGGCAGAGGGCAAGTGCTTGCTCCTTTTCCCTTTTCTCATGTGCTCCCCCCCCTCTCTTTCTCCTTACTGCTGATCTCACTTTTTCATGTCTCCTTTATTAACATTTCCAACTTGGTCTTACATTTTTCACCCTTTTGTACTAAAACCTACCTTTTCTTTGGCGAATCATGTCATGCTTTTATCTCCTTCTCTACAGACTACAAATGTTGTAAATGTTTCTTAATTTACTGCCCCATTATCTTCTTTTTGCTTCTGCTCCTTCCATCGAAATAATTCAATCAACTGTCCTCGTCCATTCTTTCCAGCCTCCACATCTGCTTTTTAACTTTGACCTTAAGGCTCGATGCTTAACCCTTGATCCACAATGTCCATTCGTCTTTCCACAGAAGATAATCAATCTTTTTTCCCCTACATCTTCTATTTCCTCTTTTTATGTGGAACCAATGGCCTCACTTCTTTCTCTTGCGTTAACACCCCTTTACACCATACCAGATAGGTAAAAGGTCAAACCAAGAACTTATTTTCTTCTCTTCCTTTCTTTAACACACCATTTCATACATTTAGTCACACTTCAGAGTCATTTCATTACAAGAACACATCAACACATATAATAATACAGCATGACGGTTGCTTAGAGATGAAGCTTTGAGCACTTGTTATCATAGTGCTACAGTTCCATATTCCCTAAAGGTGGTTGGACACAGCTACTCCCTGATGTTCAATGGTTAAAACATACTCCATGCCTGATTAGACTCTGGAGTGGTGAGCCCTCCACCCTTGAGATTATTCACTGGACAAACAACCTTTTCTTTGTATCCCTTCTTTTCCCCGTAGAACAACCTGTTTGCAAGTTCCAGATCTTTTGGGGAATGTGATTGGTCCTCAGAGGTGTCCAGTGTCCCTGCTTTACCTCACTGAGGCTAAAGGAGTAGTGAGGTCCACTGGGTACTAATAGCACTTAATAATAACAACACTATTTACCTAACATGACTATGCTTAAGACTAAAAAGCTATGATGATCCAACAGAAAAAGACCTGTGCTGTTGCTAACATTGGACACTTCCCTTAATACACTGTATGTTGTACACTGTGAATCTCAAACATGTGCTGTGCTCTGACAGGAAGACACACAATCTCCACTGTTAGCTAGCTGTGTTACCAAGTCGTGCGGTAGCAAGTCATTACAGACTGCTAAATTAACCCAATAAAAATAACTTATATATATTGGCTTATAAGGGTTTATAAGGGCACCATTCAGGTATTTAAAGTGAACTATTGCCATATTTCGCATTGGAAATGAGCACATATAAGTACAGAAGTACGCAAATTGAAGCACAACATTGTCCTCTGTTCTGATATGCAACCTATAGCAACATGAAACGCTGTTAAGCAGCAATGAAACACTAATCTATTTACTTTAATTTACCCGCTGAAATGTAATCCAAAGCTCAGGAATGTAGATCATGTCGTTCTGAGCCCACATTCCGCTCCTTACATCTTAGCTCTGTTTTCACTGCACGCCATCACTCCTATGGCTGTCAATATGAAATATTGCACAGTTTCAATTACATAGTAGGCTTGTCCAAACTGATTGTGTGTCTGTGTGCTTCATATTTTGGTGCTACTGCGTGAGAGAATGCGTGACCCCTGTCTCCCTTTATTACAGTTCATGCTACCTCCTCAGGTTCCCCCACTTTCTCAGTTTACACTGAGAAAGTAGCAAAGACAAATCCAATGTAATTCCAGTGGAAGACTGGACTTGTTTGTGGCCTTTGCTGTTTTCGGCCTATTCGGATGTTGGTGCCTTGTGAAGAAATAGCTAAATGAACTCAAGGATATTCATTTAAATGTAATTAAAACAAATCAGACACAAAAGAGAGGCTTCAAGGCTGACAGCCAACCGATTCAGCTACAATTCAAGAACAAAACACTAATTTAAAAGCATGGTTAGTTAGGAATCAGCCCTATCAACACTAAAACAATCTATTGCCGTTAGACGGTTGAAATGTGTCTGCCAGAAGATATTATGCAATACCATTTCCACTATTGTAGCTACATGTTCATAGCTTACATTCGAGTTGTTCAGAACCCAGCTGTCTTTAGAGTGACTTATACCCCCTAACAGTAAATGTTAACCTCGACCAATTCGATAAATGTAGGCATATTATCCAAAATATAGTCAAAAAGGAATCTATATATGGACGTCAATATTTTCCGACAAATGCAAAAATAAAAATATATATTTAGATGGCAACAAAATACTAAAATGATGCAGTTTCCTTCGATCTTTTCTAATTTGATACTTAAAAATAGACCTTATTCTTCGACTCTCACTCACAGCCCTCTTCAAATGGAGGTAATGGCTCTGGGTAATTGTTCAAATTGTCCCTTGGCCTTTCGGTGAGAGCGATGAGAGAAATAAAGTACTCTTCTTGCAGCAATTCTCTGTCTTTCTTATCTCTCAGTCTCTTCTCCTACTCTCTGTCCCCTCTCTTTATTTAATTTCAATCCAGTGAGATTTACTGGGGCAGTTTTTTGTTCTAAATGCCACACAAATAAGTATAGAGGGCCAAACAATGACTACCTTTTTTCTTCTGGCTTGCATCACACACACACACACACACACACACACACACACACACACACACACACACACACACACACACACACACACACACACACACGGACACACACACACACACACACGGACACACATAGGTTATTTCCTGCGTGTTAATCAGGCTGGGAGTATTTGTTCTTACCCAGAATACTCCTGGGGTTAATAAGGCAGTACAGGACTTATTTATCATGCTACACATAGTTTTTGTGCACTTGCGAGTAGTCGTCAGCATGTGTGTTGTTAGGCAACTTGAAGGTATAAACCGTTTGATGGTAGAAATGTGTCTATTGGCAAGATACTGCCATACAGTTACCGTAAATGGCATGCACATGTGCACATACAGTAGGCATGGTTTCCTGTGTGAATGTGTCTGCTCTTCTAGGTCCCACCTTCCTCTTTTCTTTTTGCTTAGCCTATGTTTGGAGAAGTTCTTAACTAAATCTGACTGGTACTAAATAGTGAAGTAACACAACAGGAACTCTATCCAAATCACACCAATACGTTCTGGCAGAAGTAAATGCTGCTTATGAAATGGTCTTTATTATCATTGAAAAAATAAATAAAAATACAAACAAATATATAAATGATCAACGGCAGAACATGTCCTAATGTCAGTGTCTAGTTCGTTCTTAATCAGATAAACTGTAAAAACGTTTGTCATGTAAATAGGTTATTTTTCAATACAAATGAACTAAACTTGTTTAATAGCATTCCAAATATTTCTTGGTTTACTGTTCAGACCTCTGGCCCTATGATATGGTATTTATCAAAACGCAGGCTCACTTAAGTATTTAAGATGAATTACCTTAGGTTTATCACTTGCACACACACACATGCACACACACACACACACACACACACACACACATGCACACCATGCACACACACATGCACACGCACACACACACACACATGCACACACACACACACACACACACACACATGCACACGCACACCATGCACAACAATCGCATAAGCAGCAACTTTCAAGCATGAATTTCTAATAATTCATCATACTCACTCTATAAGCGTTTTCAGTGAACACTTAGCCTGATTGGTTATTCAGTAATTAGTAATATCACTAATAGTTCACTCTTTTTTTATCCGCTTTTAGCAATTATTAGATTGGACCGAGGAGACTCATTCATTATAAGCATAGTTATTCAAGGTAGGATTATCCATCATTGAGTTAAAATGGAAATTGGGCTTCTCGACCCTCCAGTTTTTTGGAGGGCCGCTAATGCTCACAAGTATCGATTGAGCTGTCCAAGGTCAGTAGACTAATGTATTCATTTTTACCCCTGCAGTTGTCCTTGATGTATTTCAAATACATCTTTGTCATTTAATGAGTACATTTTTAGTTTTAGTTTTTCAAATGGAGAATCTGGTCCATCAATCATTAGCTCAAATGAGCTTCACGTGAATAAATAGTAGCCTACTTCTTTATTGGGATGTATTTGGTACATTTTAATTAAGTATAATTATATTAAGGGAAAGCAATGATTGGCTGACCGTGCAAATCAACCTTGGAACATATTCATATTGGCATGTTTTATCTAATTTTTTGCAAAGGCTTTCAATAATGTGCATTATTTAATAACCTAAATATTATCCATTTAAATGAATTAGAAATATTAAGTAATTGAGCTAATTAACTGAAAGTATGGTATTGGCTGCATGTTTTGGTACATATATAAATGGTTGACTAGTAAGATATTTATACTTTTATTTAAATAAATAAGAAACTTTGAGAAAGACTACAGATTTGATGCTTTTTCAAACAGAAAGATATAACGTACAAGCCACTTATACACATGTATCACATTTATAAAAAATATGGTTTTAGCTGCCTTTTTGGTGCATGTAAATGGTGACTAGTAAGATGTTCATAAACTAATTTAATTTAAAAAATAAACTTTGAGAAAGTCTTCAGATTCAAATAGATAGCATACAAGCCACTTATATACATTTCCACACAATATCTTAAGGTTAACATGAATAATGAGACACATTTATTTCTTTGGATTCATTTACTGGTTTTGAATTACCCTTTGATAAGGAACATAGTGTCCTGGCCTTTTTTTAATTAACACGTTGGTCTTCCAAAGAAACAGACTTTTTCTATGTGCAGTTATTAAATGAGACATGCAATTAAGACCTTCCAATTAATGTATGAGTAGCTGTTGTTATGACAAAGAGGTTAGGATAATTAATGTTACCTGTCATCCCGTTAGTAATTAAGCTCACATGACAGCATCTGCAGCTAGGCCAGACTAATTGATTTCCAAGCCACCAAACCCCAAACATATGGTTACAGTATCTGCAGTCTGTCGTTCCCCGTCTCATCTCATCTCACCTTTATCCCTCTCTTCTCATCATTCTCTGATTCCTTTTTCAAATCTTCATCCGTTTGTCGACCCAGCCTGAGTCTCTTCAGCTCTCTGACATTTTCTCTCTTCATTACTCAACCGTCTGTCTCTCAGCTCTCCCTTTCCCTCCCCTCTCTGCTTCCCTGACAGGTGGTGTAGGTCATGAAGGCAGTAGAGGGAGAGGTCAAAGGTGAAGGGTCATGTTAAGAGTCCATTAGTGCCTATTGCTAACATTGAGCCTTATTGACCTGCATGTGTTTGTCTGCATATGCTCACACGCCTGAACTTAGATATCCACGGGCACATATGCAGACATATTTGCAGATTACAACTGAATTATAATCAGTGCATTGATTTCTTTGTCCCAAGGCATAGGGACTCATAGGGATTTACATACAATTAAAATGTAGTACAACAATATATGTAAATTGAGGCTTTAAATGCGATCAGAATCAGACCAATCACAGTTATGATATATTTGATCTTTATAGAAAATCTTATATATTTGTTTAATATAGCACATATTCTTTTCAACTGAGCAAAGGGTGTACTTTATTTACAATTGATGTAAACCTAAATGTGTGTATACATGTATATTATTATTGGTATAATCCTGGCATGTCTTTTTGGTTATAGTCAAATACTATGTTTGTTAATAACTGTAGAAGCTGTAGTTTTTGTAGGTACAATTGTAGTTTAACTAACGGGGAAACATCACGCAATTCCTATTCCTCTCATATGGATAATGAAGACCACTTTTGCTTTTTAAATTATACAAATATGTTGTGCCTCTACTGTGACATCGGAGAGGAACTCCCTCTGCGGGGAACTTTGGAATTGTTGCCTTTGCAGACCATTTACATGCAATACAAAGCTATAGTTCAGGAAAGGCACAAACGTATAAAAGCATGATAATGCCCCTTTAAAATAAAAATGCTGGTAGAAATGCAGCTAGGCTAGGGTGACATAAGGACTTAGGGTCCCTGTAGACCACATCTAATCAATACCTCCCCTATACAATCTTTAGGGTTATATGCTAAATAAATGTCCAGCAGTTTTTAACAAAGGTGTGATTTCTCTAAGAGTCCACATGTATTCATGATACAGTGGTAACTCCATGTACTCTCAAACATATGTAGTAATGACAGTCATTCACATAATAGTGTCTACGCACAGAGACTTGTCACATGTTGAGCGTCAGACGATTCATCATCCTTATACTGTTGGGCATGTAACCCGTCCCTGTGGAGCTCACCTCTCCGTGTCACATCAACACACACACTTCATGTCATCGTATTAAGTCATTATTACAGCTCCCTTGGCTCACATTTACACTCTTCTTCCTCACACCTCTCTCCCTATTTCTCCCGGTTGCCATGCCCATTGACAGTGTTATTTATTACTGCTTGGCAACACTGTCTTCTTACCCACATATATTAATTGCTATTTGTACATCATCCATCCATCAACGTAGCGGCTCCTTCACTCGTCAATTCATTCATTTCCTTTATGTGTCTGTCAAATTGCGAAGGCTTACTTGTTAATCTCAGGCTTTCATATTGCGTGTAGTGCATTTAAAGCAAACATCCAAAACACGGGGAGTTTGTTAATGCCTCCACTTAGTCATTCCTTCAAGCTCTTTGTTTATTTAAAAAGCTGTATTAGATCATTCATCCACATGTTTTGGAATTGATGTTATCCCCCTTTTTTATATTTGAGTCTTTTGTCCAGCCATGAAGTCTTCCGCTTCCCGACGGATTGAATGTGCTGTTGGAGCTTGTTCTGCTCTTTTCTTGCTGTCTCTTACTCAATCTCAAAAATGTGATTGTGTGTTTTCTCTACAGGCGGCAAGTCCAGCTGTGGAAAAAGCAGCAGGGGTAGACCGACCCCCCAGCAAACACACCTCCAACGACAGGTCAGTGCGTTTGTAACTCTTATGCTGTAATCCACAGACTCTCTTTATGTTATGTCATTTTTGGTATAGCTATGCGCAGTTGTCTACATTCCTGTTTGTTGATGTTCATGTGTGTGTTTGTGCCCTACTTTCCCTTCATTAAAGCTGTATCCTAATCCAGATCAAGGCCCTTACAGTTCTAGTTTGTAAAGAAGCCCCATCATTAGCCCACTACAAAAGCCTGCGAAAAAACGGGGTCAGGGTCACACACACATTCACACGCTCACAAACATGTAGAGACCGCCATACACACATCACATGGCCGTTAGAAATGAACAGCTACAAACACACTTGCAACTGTTTATTTTCTTCAGGCAGACACAAGTGAGCACAGAACATGCATACACTAATGAGGGCTGCCTAATGAAGTAGTAAGGATGCAGAATGCCCGGTGTCTCCTGTGGGCCTTGTAAGTGTGTGTGTGTGTGTGTGTGTGTGTGTGTGTGTGTGTGTGTGTGTGTGTGTGTGTGTGTGTGTGTGTGGTGTGTGTGTGTGTGTGTGTGTGTGGTGTGTGTGTGTGTGTGTGTGTGTGTGTGTGTGTGTGTGGTGTGTGTGTGTGTGTGTGTGTGTGTGTGTGTGTGTGTGTGTGTGTGTGTGTGTGTGTGTGTGTGTGTGTGTGTGTGTGTGTGTGTGTGTGTGTGTGTGTGTGTGTGTGTGTGTGTGTGTGTGTGTGTGTGTGTGTGTGTGTGTGTGTGTGTGTGTGTGTGTGTGTGTGTGCTTATTTTACAGTGCGGACAGATAGTTACCATGCCTGTTATAAACTTTGAGTCTGTTTGTCTCAGGTTTAATGTGCAGTGCCTAGTACAAATCCATTACAACGGTCTTCCCATGTTAGCGTGTTCCTAGCTAACCTGAATCAATCATCTCCACATTTGTGTTCAGCGTCTACATTTTCCTGCTGTATTTAGCAGCAGATCTCATGGCGCATAACACGTAACACCCTTACATTACATTTGTTCCTTTTCATGGCTAATGTTTTGAATGAGTCAGTCTTTGCTTCAGAATAATGTGATGACAGTGAGGTGTATTTTCTCAACTACATAAAGACTACTTTATTTATCCACTCTTGTAATTTGATATCTTTTACACAGGTGTTGGGAAAGTAAACTGTTTACCACAATCACCCTCACATTTGTTAATACCTAACTTAATTATGGAAGTTTAACTTGGGAGTAACATTGTAATGTCATTTTCTAATAATGTTTTCCTTCCATTTTATCAAATATATTTAAACCAATACATTGTCAATAATGGAGAATATAGATACAATTCGGCTTTTTGTAGCGACATTTTCAAGTTATCAAATGTTACAGGTAGTATGGACTTTGTTGTGGTCTCTATCGATGTCCTTGATGTCGGAAACTCATGATGATTATGATGTGACCCCAAAAGCATCATGTCCCAGCCACCCATATTTTTCCATCTGTGACCATGGCTCAAGCAGAACAATCTAAATGTAATTAAATGTTTTCTCATTTGCTTGATTTATCCCAGTCTTTTACAGAGAATATAAAGTTATCCTATCATAAACATACAAAACCCATGCGTCCACTCAACCTAACCAAGGCCAATCTTTGCAATAGCATGACTAATAGAAAACCTAGGCAGAACACGTTGTACATTTGAGAAAATGGCCGTTACGTCATTGATCAATGTGCTGCTCTGTCTGGCTCCATTGACCTCTGTTAATGGACAGTGTATTACTCATAGACTGTATAAAAGAAGGGGACATTGTCCCTGTGATGTCGCCCATTGGTTGTGTGGATTACCGTTTTAAAGCCTTGAGTTTGAGGCATTTTTTCTTTTGCCATACATACTGTTTGTAGCCCATACAAATGCTAAGTTATCAATTAATGCTAGTTCTAGTAAGCTTGGTCAGCAAGATATGTCAGTATTCTACATTGACTGTTATATTAATGAGGTATTCATTGGTCATTTTGGCTGGAATAAAAAAGGCTTTTAACTAAATGTATTTACCAGATCAAATGAACAGCCACATCGTTGCATTTAGTACAACTGTGGGATAGTGTCGCTCCCTAGTGACCTGTGAATCACAAGGTAGCCTCACCCCTTAAAGTAAACCCTGCTTTACTCTAAATGGAAAGATAATTAACTAAATGAACATCATGCAAAAAAGACTTGAATTGAGACCATCAACTTGAAGGGAGTGAGAAATAGGGTCTTTTTCTTATAGACTTTTATACAATCAGACTTATAAGAGAGCTAAAGCATTTGATGTCAGCCAAACAATGTTTGATCTGCTCAAGAGGAACCAGCTGCATCCACAGAACAAAGACAAACTTGTGTTCACACACACACACACACACACACACACACACACACACACACACACACACACACACACACACACACACACACACACACACACACACACATACACACACACATACACACACACACACACACACGCACACACACACAATAAAGTGGATATATAGGTAATTATTTAAGACAAACACATTTGTTTCATATGGTCATGAACTTATTTTTTTACACATCATCTCATGTACACACGCTCACATAGAAACCATTTCAGCTGTGAGTAATGTAAAAGTGATGTAATGGTTTCTGTGGTCGCCGGGGAAACGATCCTTGAAATTGCAAAAAAGTCCAAAATGAGTAGAGGAGTGCTGCCATAAATATTGGAACAGCAAAGCGTAAGTTAAATGAATAAACGTGTGTGTGTGTGTGTGGCTCTATATGACTTTCTGCTGGTGTGTATGTCTCCTATTCACATTATTGTCCTCCTTCTGTGTGTGTGTATGCATGTGCATGTGTGCGCCTTTGTGTGAAGCTACACCTATAAAAACAGTAATGGCTCGTCATAATTTTAACCACACAGCACGGTCACCGCAAAACTCATTACCTTTGAATCAAAATGTGCTTTTTATACCGGGAAACAGATTTACTGTAAATTGGTTTATTGAAATAGCATTGCCATCATACTATATTTCTTTGTGGTATAAGGTACTGTGTAATAGAAGCTAGGAGGTGAAAAGGTAAATAGGTTTCATTGGATGCACTAGACCAACAGGATGTGAAAGAGTTATTATAACACTTCTATTTATCAGAGGAACATACGATACTCTCTACACTCACTTTTTACAAAGGGCCATAAACTCAGTATACCTACACTTCATTTTGATGGGGCCTGAGCTACCCTTCAACATGCTTGAAGGTGGCAATAAGTGGCACAGACGCCAGGACTGGCTCAAACTGTAGTGAAATGTTTTGAAAGTTGCCAGCGGACTCTCTGGCGCCCCCTATTGAGTGGTAGGACTGTGGTCGCATACAGTTATTCCAATGTTTTCAGAAATTCGGTTTGCACATTGCCCTATTTATTGTGGACAGAACAAAATAGACTTTCATTAGCCCCACTCTCCCTGGAAGTCTCCAATTTTGAATAATGCATTTGTCCTGAGTTGAATTTTCATGTGGAATAACCCTTTGACAAAGTTGACAATAAATTGCGAAGGAATATTCAATAGTTCAAATGATAGGGGTTATAGGTCAAGGCTGAAGACCACATTTTTGACGATTTACACATGTCCAACATTCCAAACTTTTTGGATATAAGTGCTCTGATATTCACAAGATGTTGTACCCACATTGCTCTTATTGTTGTGAACATATTTCAGATTGGCTTTTATTAGCCCCGCCCTTCCCGGAAGTCTCCCATTTTGAATATTGCGTTTTTGTTTATCGGAATTTTTTTTCCATTTTGACGCTAAAATTAAAATAAAGAGTGGATAGCTCAAATGATATCAAACAATGAGGTCTTCAGTCGAAGGAAAATACACCGTTTTTGACGATTTACATCAGTTAAAACTATCCAAACCACTTGCTTACAACTACTCCGATATGTACACAATTAAGGGTCAAGGCCCGTTCAGCGATTCATGCAGCTTTAATTATTTATTTTAATAAGCTCACTCATTCATCAACAACTACCATTAAGAGTTTTTAAATTAATGTTATGATATGTTTATGTACTTGCATACATTAACCTTTAGCAGTATTGTATGTTTTTTTCTTTTTTCACATCGCTCTCTCCCCACTTCTGTGCACTTTAAAGACCAGCCAAGAGAGAAAGGAAGGGGAGATGAGGGTGAGAGAGAGAGAAAGAGAGTGGTTTGGTAATGCACATCCTCCCTTTTGGTTATTTCTCCTCTGTGTTTCATAGCGAGGATCCGTGAAGTGGCAGGTGGATGAAGAGAACACCTGCTCTCTTCATCTCTCTGCCTCTGTGTGTTTGGCTCTTTTTCTCCGTCTCTTGTTCTTTCATCGCACACCGTCTCTTTTTTTCTCAAGTCTCACCCATTTGATCTCTCCCTTTTCTCACCCCCACTTCCATTTTTTTGCAGCGAGGCAGCTTGTCAAACATCTCACAAAAAAATGTAAAACGCAAATGGATCTGAAGTGCGTGTGTGTGTTGTAGTGGGAGTGTTAGAGATCAGAGGCACAGCAGCAGGAAGGGATAGAGGGAGGAGTGGATTTTTTCCTCATATTAATGCTATTCATTAGCTTGTCTAATTAATTCAGTGCCTCCTCCCTTTACTTCACTATTATTGCTTCCATACGTACTTCCCTTTTTACCATCTTTTCTCTTTTGCTATTTCTACTTTTCTTCTTTGCTCGTCTCTCTATCCGTCCCCTCTTTCTTCTTTCCTTTTCCTTTTAACCAAATACTACTTTATGTAAGCGCAGTGGTCCCAATCTAGGGAAGGGAATGTTCATCAGTGCGTTCACCACTTTAATCCTGAGACTGAAATCTATAACAAAATCTCTTGGATTAATTGACATGTTCGATCCCAAGAGGATGAAACCTTATGACTTTTCATCTGGTGTCAACAGAATATCAACATTTTCAGTTGCCCAATCTAAAAACATATCAGCATGAACATGACGGGGTGGCATTCATTGTGGTAGTAATGTTCAAGGATACCATATACCATCAGGTCTGAAACACTCATTTTTTAAATAAGCTATTATTTGAGGTTACGGTTAATTGGCAAATTGTAGCCTTGTAACAACTTTACTAAGATACTGAGCTTCAGAAACATTCCCTGCTTAACATCAGCTTGTATTATAATCTTTGTGAACATGCTAGCATTTGGCTCTTATTTTAGACTCTTATGTTTTACTTCAATTGTATGCTAAATACTCCATGGAATATGAACTAAAGTAATCTTTATAGTTAGCAAGCAATCAACATTCTTAAAGAGGACATATGCTCATTTTCAGGTTCATATCTGTCTGTTGTACTGTGACATGTCTCCATGCTTTAATGTTCAAAAGCTCTTTATTTTCCCGTACTGCCTGTGCGGCAGCAACTCTTTTCACCCTCTGTCTGAAACCAGAGCCCAGTCTGCTCTGATTGGTTAGCTGGCCGGCTCTGTTGTGATTAGTAACCGCTTAGAGATGTGTCACGAATGTCCGACCCCCCACATTCAATGTGTTGGAGCGCTAGCCAATATAAATGCAAGTGTTACATTGTGATGTCACTATGTTACAGAGGTAAACAAAGGAGTCCAATTGAGGTGTTTCAGGCAGGGGGAGTAGTGTGTTGGAGAGGGAGGGACATTTTACATGCACCAAGACCTACATAACAAATTACAGGAAAGGGATAACCCCCAAAACATGATAGGGACCCTTCAAGCCTTCACACACAAACAGGACGTTATACAATATTTCCAGCATTGTACATCACTGAAACTGCCAATTAAAATGTTTTTTTACAGAAAATTATAAATCTACAAATACATATCATTTGCAACTTTCAGCAGCTAGACATATTATGCATTATGATAGTTTTGAACCACTTTTCAAGTGTTAACACTACTGTACATAGGCTCAAGACATTATAATTAGTATATATTATGAAACTAGGAATACATTTTAGTCAGGCCTCCCTTTAGTTTTTCCTGCCACTGCATCTTTTTACCTAACCACTGTCTCCATTTTTTCCTCCAACATTCCTTTCACTCCTACACTTTATCTCCGTCTGTCTTTGTTTCCTCCATCCTTGCTGTTCTTCCCTCCCTTCCTCCCCACATCTTTTCCTTTTCTTTTCACTCTCCCTCTTCCATCCTTCCTCCCTCTGCCCTGGCCTTCCTCTCTCTAGCAGTCCCTTGTCTGCCATTGTCTGGATTAACTCACATTTGCTGAGTGACTATGAGGCGGCATCAGGGAGACCTTGTTTTTGTACTTTGCATATTTCCCCCTGTTGCCAACCATGAATCATCATCTAGCCTCTCTCTGGATTCTATCAGCATCTGCACTGCTATCAGTTCATGAGGGTTTAGGGATGGATGGATGGTCTAGAGAGGAGTGTAGAACTAAAGAGTACAAAACTAAGTTCAGACAAACTCACTTAGAAAAAAACACACACAGGGAGCAGGGAGAAGGTCAGGGGAGGATTAATGGCTGTGCTCTGATAGATAAACTAATCAAACAAACAAAGACTTCAACGCACACACACACACACACACACACACACACACACTCAAACCACAGACAGAATGTAAAGCAGACACACTCGAATAACCCAAATGAGACATTGAGAGATTGAAAGAGAGGAAGAAGCCCATTGAGATGAATGGCGCACAAAAAAAAGTTTTGAAAAACATGAGCTCACACGCAGAGACAGAGCAGTTGTTTTGACTTTGTCTACTCTCCCCTGTCTAAGGGCCGGGTTCACAGACAGGGATTAAGGCCCCAACAAAAAAGTATTTTTAGCACTCTGAAAGCTTCCATGGAAGTGAACTTTCAAAATGTTCCTTTAGAAGACACACATTGTTATGCATTATACATCTAATCAGTCGGGTGTTCTTTTTTCATGAATGTAAGCCTCGCTGCACATTATCCTGTTTTTCACACAGCCACATGCAAAATAAACCAACAGCTTCACTCATAACATTGATTTAAAACTATTTTATTGACATAAAAATGATCATATTGCTTCCACTATGAAAAAAAAACTGCGTTCTACAGCGTCGGCTCGAACTGCGGCAACAATGACGTAACTTTAAATAACGGTAGCACGGATCAATATTTACTGTAACTGTCCAAGTGTGTTTACAGTTTCTCTTCCACTAACAAGTTCTTAAACAATGCAAGAACCCATTCCATGTTCCCATTAGTGTTGACTTCCTGTCTGCCTTCTTCTGTGGTTTTCTTTGACGTCCTGCGCTCTGTCTTTTGACCCCGTTCCTTCTCTCCTTTGATCCTCCTTAGCGGTGTGTTATCAAGTATTAACCTCTGAAATGTCGAGATTGACCAATCAGAATCAAGTATTCAACTAAGCCGTGTAATGATATAATATACAATTATTTCATTAATTACAAATTGTAAATTCCATGTTATAGATTGTTGCTCATTTACCTTTAAATTCTTATTTTTGTATAAATATTTTAATATTACATTTGTTGAGGACATTTTGCTAACTTTAACAGTCTTTATTTGTTTTAGTTTTAATTCAACATTCCTACTTCAACTTCTTATGTGTATATACATATTTGTATTCTTTTTGTTGTTGTTTATTTTGTATTTATGACATTTTTAAATGAAGGTTTCTGCTTCTGACTTCAGATTCAAATGTTCAAAAAATGTATCCTGGTATTTGTTCATGCATAATCATTATTTGTCAAATAGAATAGAACTTAAATCTGCTCTTTTTTTTTTACAGTGAAATAACTTCTCCCTGTGTTTTATTTTTGTGAAGTAATATCACATATCTTGTGGTTTATCTCATTGGTTTCATGTCTGTGTTCATCTGTGCAGCTTGACTACAACAGTAGACATGTGTTATGGTCCTGTTTTTCTATCTTAATCCTTCTTTACTTCATCTGTGCATATGTGTACGAGTCATGTGTTATTCACATCATTCCAGTAGTTAGCTTTGATCACAGATGGGTCCCTGGCTATTGAATCATTATGCAAATGTCTCTGGAAGCAAACAAAACACAAAGGTCCCGTTCATGTTACTGTGACAAAACTTTACCTCTAACATATTTGAGTATATTTATTTAGTTTTTCTCCTAATCATTGTATTCTGTGTTTGTGTGCTCAACTGTACAGCCTGACTAGAACAGTGGAGATCCTGGGAGACGACAGTCCTCTGGGAATCCACGTGGTCCCTTACAGCTCATCCCTCAGTGGACGGTAAGTTGTGTGAACGCAGACCAACACACAGAAACAAAAATGCACACACACAAAGAAACACTCATCGAAACAAGCCCTAATTCTGCCCTTTAACCAATATTGTTTGTTTATCTGCTGCATTACATAATATGCCTATACTCTTGGTCCCTGGAGGTGTGTGGCGCAGTGGATAGAGCGTTGGTATTCGGATCACTGGAGCACAGGTTCAAACCCCACTGCAGTCAGCATGTCGTTGTGTCCCTGAGACACTTCACCCCAAATTGCTCCTGTGGGGATTGCCCACAGTATTGAGTATGTAAGTCGCTTTGGATAAAAGCGTCTAACAAGTAATGTAATGTCTGCGTTTATGAGGAATTCTCTACCTTGGTGCACAAACACACATTCTCACGCAATGGGAAAAAATAGGGAAAATTGCAGAGCTTTTCTCTGGGCGTGTGACAGTCAGACAGTGGACGGGGATTTCCTACAGCAAAGCAGGATGAGCTTTTATGGCTGTTCTCATGACTCACCTGACCCCGCCAATCTCCTCCTTAAATTCCTCACTCTCTTTGTCCTTTATCCTCCTCCCCCCATTTTCCTAAACACCTCCATCTCTTTCCACCATTTCCCGTCATCCCTTTTACCTTTTAGCCTAGTTTCATCCTCTTGCAGCTGAAATCTTTAGAGTGTCACAGTCATCACCTCTGCTTTGTTAAGCTGTGATTTAGTAAGGCAAAGGTTCATATTAAAGGGGCAGTGCACCCCAACATTGAAAATACATTCTTACCTGGCAAGTTATCAATCTAGACCATTTTGGTGTGGGTTTTCAGTGTTGGAGATATCGTTGTATACAAATCAAAGATTTTTCTTCAATATAAAGGAACTACTTGGTATTCAGTTTGTGGTGCTCATTGCACCAACAATAAAACAAAACAATCAACAATGCTTCCTTATATAAATTGTGAGCCTGTTACTAAATAATTATCCACAAAATGTAGTTGTGAGCGGTTTTATGTAACAACTATATTCTTTGTACTGAATTAGACCAGCCAAAAAGCAAGCAACAATGCTAGTTCCACTATATTGGAGATAACTTAGCCATCTCTACGACAAAGATCTCCAACAAGCCCCAAAACTAACTAACTAACTTCATAAATAGCCCTACAGGTAAGAGGACGTATTTTCTATTTTGCGGTGAACTATCTCTTTAAAGGGGCCCTCTTACGCTCATTTTCAGGCTTCAAAATTGTAAATCATGTACGATGCGCTAGAGAGCTAGCCTGAGTGTCACATAGTGATGTCATTATGTTACGGAAGAAAACAAAGGAGTCCATTGGAGGTGTTTCAGGCAGGGTCTGAGAGAGAAACTCCCTCCCTCCCTGGAAGTTTTTTCTTTGCAGACCATTTACATAACACACAACAGGAAAGGGAACACCCCAAAAAGCATAATAAGAAAGGGCATCAGTTTATATGACCATCGTAGTGGCTGCTTGTATATTTGTCACTTTACATTTTCATGTGTTGATCTCCATGTCGGCACACTTTTGATGTCTTAAGTTTGTGTGTACTTTTCCGTCATATTGTCTTTGGTAATTGACCTACCTGTCTTGTTATCTGCTAGTTGAACACTTTGCTTATCAGTTGAAGGCGAGTTATATAAGCACTAATAATGTTTCTGTTAGGAAGATAGTGTCACTCGACACCAGGTCAATAATCAGGTACTAATTTATTCTTGCAAGAAGGAGCAGAGTTAAATGACATACAAAGGATATGGTTTAACTCTCACACGGGGCATGTTGCTCAACGGAGCAGGAAAAAGCATCAGGCTTATATCGTCCAAAATACAGGAGATAACAACAAAGTCGGAAATCAAGGTGGCGCTAATATCAGCCGCGGGTGTCGGGTCATCTGCGATGTGACGTCTTCTGGACTTCCTTCACGCCTCATAGAAATGAGATATGTAGGAGACAACAAGTATGTGTCTGTCTCCTCATAAAGATCAACAACCTGAAATGCCTTGCCTCCTCCTATCACAAAGAGGTTGTACACCGTTCAGAATCACACATGATATCAGTGCATTCAAACAAACCCAAAGAGGAGACAACAGTATTTTCTCCAACAGTTTCACAAAGAAAGAGACAAACAGATAGTTGGGGGCTCTTTCTGTCAGCAGTGTCTAAGTAAACATATAGACACTCTCTGGGGGTCCCCCCTCAGACACATCCGTCCTCTGGGACACACAGAAAGTCACTCTAAAGACAGTCTGTTTGCTTGTGTATCTACAAAAGTAGAAGTGATGGGACCAGACCTTAACCCCTCTTCTTCTCCTTTCAGGTCTCTCGGTCTGTTCATCCGTGGAGTGGAGGATGAGAGCCGCTCACGAAAGGAAGGCCTGTTCCAAGAGGACGAGTGCATAGTCATGATCAACAACAAGGACCTCATGGACAAGACCTTCAGCCAGTGAGTGCAACACAGTGTTTGTGAACAGGGGGTGAAGACATGACTCATACAAAAGCAAGCCCCCGTAATATTACAGATACATTCATTTCCTGTACAATATCTGTATTGTGTCAAACAACAACATAGATAAAGATTCACGCTAGTTTTTGTATGGCTATTTATTTAAAGGGTCAGTTCACACAACTTTGAAAAGAATGCTTAATCTCACAAAAGGTTCCCAATTAATGTAAAATCAAATTGAATAAGGACTAGTGGAATATTCAAATCACAAAAAAGCCAAATATTGGTTTAGGGCAAAGTATGTTTAAAAACCATTTTGCGATTCAGAGTGTATTGCTGCTGCAGAGATATCCCAGCCGACAAATCATATTATACAGACTTAACAAAACATATTTGTAACCCTTCCTTTCATTATCGTTTTAATATATCTTTCAATGAACATCTTTTAAAAGATCAATCCCTCCCATATCGTGGATCATATTGCGGTTGCAATATCAGTCAAAATGATCACAATAAGTTATTTTGTCCAAATTGTGAAGCTCTTATCTTGCCTACATTAGTGGTGCCAATCCACACAGGAGTTTGCCCCTGTTTACATAAATGTGCCTTCATGGTTTCTGCCTTCCTCAATATAACATCGAATAGGAACAAAAGCTGTCTGAATTGCTACAGGGATAGAATATAAATATGCTGGTTATATGCCTACATATACATACAGTAGACACACACATCGGTGATTTAGTAATAAACCTTGTACAAAAGGAGACTCAAGCTTTTAAAATGTGCAATTGAGCTTTACATCACATTCATGTAAATGAAAAAGTATTGAAAAATTACATCAAATGATCAGCAAAATAAAACCTTAAGAATAAGTGTATATATGAGCAGATGCATTATAGTCTAACATCCTTTCAAGTCTGTCCAAGTCTGTCTTCTCTTCCTGCTGCCTCTGTCTCTGTGTTGTATTCTCCCTCTCCATTGTCAGAGGGCTTATATCACTGTTGCACAGCCATCACAGACAACAGCAGAAAAGACACTTGGCAGATGTTTGGAGAGCATTGCTTACAAATTCATTCATGTGTGTGTTTATAAGAGCCGGCTTCTGTGTGTCGCTCCACTTCATTCCTCTAAGGGAAGATTTGCACAAGATCCATTCGACAGCAGATGTTTCACGCTGGAGTTTGCTTACTATACCGCTGAAGCACCTGAAGAGAAGTACATTAACACGAGTATTTAAGTATGTAACATGATTACAGAGCATTAACATGACAAAAGACACACCTGTAAGAACGATTTCCTACAGATTACAAGGACTGATGTGGGTGTTATCATGATTACAGCACATTACAGCGTCTATACATTCTACACAATAGTCCTTGTCCAGCGTTCAGGGTGGTAATGAGATTATATGAGATGTTTTATGCTCTACTGCAGGTAAACGGATTATCACCGGATGGGTTTGCTACGTATTGTTCAAAGATAGGTGAATGGGCCCGAGTCCACTCACACTCACACACACACACACACCTTCTTGCCCATATTGTTCTGTCATGGCGAGATTATTGACATGGTATGTTTGTTCCAGTAAAATATGTGCAAGTAGGCCAGTGAAAGTCCACTGAATCCTATGTGTGCCATTTCCATGAACACACACTTGCATGCACATACACACACACACACTTCCATTGTCTGATTAGAATATCTCTTTTACATGAAGGTGTTCGCATCCATTGTCCTTCAGGAACAATAACGGCAATATCTGTGCACGACTACACACGTCAACAAACATCTAGTTACATTGTTCTGCATAGTGGTCTTTCTACAATAACAACGAGTGTCATTCTGCAAGGTGAGACACGAGCATTTGCTCAGACTGCCCAGTGTGTTTAATGGTTTCATTATGCAAATTCAGAGTAAGAAAATATGACAACCCATGCTTTAACTCGCCTCGAAACCACTCTTTTGGATTACCATACAACATCATATTATCCATGGCATTTTAAGGTGCTCGTTATAATTCCTTATTTTTATGAATGGAAATTGTTCATTCGTATCCAGTCATTTTTTGTATCAATCATTTGCACCATATCTTTTCTTAATTTGGCTGCCCATGGAGTTTGGTGCATGTAATTGCTAAGAGCTTCTGTTATCTGCGTTTCTTAAACACCCCAATATACATGGTCATATTACCAAGTAGAGTTTAACTAAACCAGAAACACTCAAAAAGACTTACATGTACTTTCAGTTGGAAACCTAAGACAAAGCTCAATATTCATTTATAATACATAGATTGTAAATACAGTGTACATTTAACCACTGGTTACATATTTATTAAGATGGAACTTGCCCAAAGTGACATGTTATCACCAGATGTATGCCTGCATGACTTTCTTTCTGTTAAATATAACATTTGAAAGTATTATTATTGCTGATTTAATGTATTAAATAGTGAATATCCTTTATACACGACTTTCTAAACATAGTCTCTAGTTACAGAAGCTTTATGATCATTTTACATCTAATAATAATCTCGGCGGGAAATAATAGGAGAGTAATCTAATAGAATTTAAATAAAGTGGATTTTCTCTGTCGGTTATCTGAGGTGAATGATGGTGTGTACCAATCGCCCCTGACACAATGGTCCCCCTAAGTTACTTAGCATAATCTGATATAAAGTAATTCTCTGCAAAACGATCTCTCTTATGAATCATGAGATTATAATGGCCTGCTGCACAGGTGTCATTGTTCTCTGTTGCGTCTCCTGTTCGCTCCTGCCTTCACTTTGCTCCAATAATGATAAATACACATCACACAGTCAACCACCAGGAAACATAAAAAAAACAATGGCAATTTACAGTATAAAGCAGCTTAGAATAATGAACTACAGTTTACCACAATATACATCTCAATCTAACATACATGCTTTATTTTAAATAAAAAAGAAAAGCATTTGATTTGACCTGATATGGTTAAACTTGCTGTCACATTTTCCAAACACTGGGATATGCTTTATCAGGTTTCATTTTTGCAAAATAACAAGAGGCTGGGTGCCATCTGATAAACAAAGATCAATTATTTCAAGTAGAAAAACATTTAAACCATTACTAATTTCCTCTGAAAAAAAGTGCTTATTATCCCAGAGCTCTGTTGGATGCTCCGGGGGATTTGATCATTTGCTCCGCTAACCAATCAGATCGATGGATTCCACAGAAGAGAAAACTTTAAGGCCTTTTTCTCAAAATGATGACTCGGTGACAGTCATTATATCATTTGACATATTTTGCTTAATATTTGGAGTAGAACAACAATCCTGATATCATTAGAAAGCTAGGAATATCCTCTTTCCAGCAGTGTATACAACTCAAAATGTGTGTCACATACTTTACCAAAGCAACATATCTGTCCAGACAACAATGTGACATCGGACATTACAAATATACATAACAAAATCAAAAATATTGTCATTGTGCCGGAATTCCACCTGGCACCCTATTGGGACTTCATTTGAGAATCGCTGACGTAGACAGACCCATCCATTTCATCAAAACATGACACAATAGTTTCATTTTGATACACCAGTCTTAAAGAAAACGCTTTTCTACCTGCTGGGAAACTCAACCATAGAATAGAGCACTGGTTTCCAAGTTATTTAACAATAATATTATCTACTTTTTGGTGTTTTATCATTTTAAATGTAATATGGGATTATTGACGGATACCTTGTCGTTGATATTAGACAAGATAATCAGTTGAATTACTTTGAAAAGTAATTGCCAATAAAAACAATAATTAGTTACGGCAATATTTATCAATCTTGGAATTAAAAATCAATTAAAATCAGTTGAGTAAAGATATATGAGCCTAAGATATTCACCAGTGTATTTAAATCATCACAAATCCAACACACCATTTATTATAATTTGCATTTAATTGTTTTTCATCTTGTATTCATCAAAAATAATATTCCAAAGACACATTTGACAATGTATCTTTGTTTTTTCCCTCTTAATTGAGTTTTATATCCTTCCATAATGACTTTGCTTGTCAGAGATGGATGACTTTACACTTTATGTAGCTGTGATTTATGCCATGATTATGAATGATAAATGCATGCATCTATACACAAACTTATACGCAACACTTTCTGAATGTTTTCCTTTGTTGCTCTGAACTCATCACTCATTTCTCCGTCTCTTTTTCTCTCTCAGAGCTCAGGAAGTGTTCCGTCAGGCGATGCGCTCCCAGGTTGTCCGCTTGGAAGTAGTTCCCTCCTCCAACAGAGAACGCTATGAAAAGAGTTTTATTGGTCAGCTGATTGGAAACAATGCCGGTCCAGACAGCAGCCCTCGGGTGGCCAAGTCCAAACCACCGCCTCCCCCCATCAAAGCCAAACCTGTGTTCAAGCCCTCTGAGAATCCAGCCATGCGATTGGCAGAGGAAGCTGCCTCCACAGAAGCTGCTGTTAGTGTAAGTTCTCTGCTCCAAGTCAACTTGACCTGAGATAAGATCAGATAAACCTTTATTGATCCACGCAGGGGAGTTCAGGTGTCGCAGCAGCAACAACGAGGAAACAAGGAAACACAGCATGGTTTAGAAAGTTATACAAGTTGAGATAAACTCAAATGTTGTTACATTGAATATAAAGAAACAATCGGATCGTTACATAATAACATCATATTCAGATTATCCTTAATTAATCAAATGTTTTTAACAACATTGAACCAAAAGTATCTATATTTGTAGGCTTCTTGATTAGCAACAGGAAGAAACTGACTGAAGTCGATGTTATGTCTGTTTGCCGTATGCTTTAGACACAGTTTTTAAAAACACATAAAAGCATTACTGCCTCCCCAAACCTTCCTCCCTTAAAACTTAAGAATTCTTTAGGTATGAAAATGCCTTGATTTGACATGTTGTTCCCCAAATGATTTGGCATGGCTTGTAATGTCAGCTTTTGCACACAGTGTATCTTTAATTTAGAGTTGTTGTATGACTTTAAATTCTGTCTGTGTATTTTCAGTTTGCACAAACTGAATCAATGAAACATTATCTTCTTTAGTTTACTTCATCTTTTGATTTGATTTCAGTCTTTCTTATCCAAACTGATTTACTTGTGTCGTTCACATCACCATGGTGACATGGCTGACATTTGAAAAACATATGGCACAGATGCAACAGTTGCTTAGCAACAGCTCAGCATCACCTTATTTTCTTAAAAAGGGATCTGTTGATCTATATTCTGTTCTAATGACGTGAAAGCACAGTTTCAGAACTAATGAGCATGTTGTCCAGGTTCATGCACACTACGGTGTGGGTTATAACAGGCTTTACTTTCACTTTGAATTAGAATATGAAATGAATCCCGAGTGAATGGCTTTTGTACCAGTTGCTCCATTTAAAAACACAATAACATAAAGGATAGGTACAAAAAGAGAGAAATAGAAAATGAGTAGTAAAATGTGTTTTTTTCTTTAATTTTCCTGTTAAATGATGATCAATACATCGATAACGATATGTCATAAATAACTGCAAGTTGCCATCACATTTTCAACAACAAATTGATACAAAGTTTTCGAAGGTTAGACAAACAACAACGAAAAACCCATTACATTGTATATGTAATGAATAATAAACAATATGACGAGGATCAATCATCAGCTCACAGGTTTAGAAACTATGCATTTAGAATGTGACAAATGGGGCATTTAGAATGAAAATGTCAAAAACAAAGCAGCCTGTCTTCTCTAATGTTTTTAACAGCCGTTAAATGATGTACTTAAATGCTCAACGTTCTCAACCTAGACACCCAAGGGAAGGAGTGAGAGCCCCTCTCTTAAGAAAGGACCTGTTCTCTCAAGCCTGGTGACCAATAAGAAAGCAGGACGAAAACTGAGGATCGATCTGAAGAAAGGTGAGGAACACACAGCTACTGACGACTCATACCAGTCTCTCTCTTGATGCAGTTCCTCAATCCCTCCTTCAAAATATCACACTTAGTTATTCAAAAGAAAGATGCATATTATTTTCCATCTGTGTACAAATGTAGACTGTTTTTTGGGTAAACAAATGGCCTGCCATAATGTTATTGCTGCAAATGTAGTTGTGTGTGTTGGATCAGCACATTGCTTTCAGAGATTGAGGAAGAACAAAGCAAAACCAAATATGTTCACCTCCGTGTATCAGATTTGATTGGATTAGATTTGAACAATGCTACTTCATTATTTCCAAAGGGGAATCCTTCTTTTTACAGCAGCATGTTAACAAGGCATTTCACATGAGTACATATATACATATCAACACTAGAAATATATATATCTGTAGAGTATCTATAGAATACACATTATACAGAATAATTAGGAATACACTTATAGACCAACCTATTACAACAAAATATATAAATATACAGGATATATATTTAACAAGTAGTTGCAGTTTTTACTATGTTATTCAAGAGGAAAAAAGGCGTTTTCTTTTTCCTAGACATTTTCTGAATTTGTTAACCCTCCTATTTTTTAAATGCACATAATGGACCCTCGTTAAGCACAATGCTGTTCTCCCAGCATTGTGCTTATTTCTCCAAAGCTTCCTTTCTCTGTTCTCCGGCCCCCTCTGCTTCCCCTCATCCTTCCTTTCTCCATCTTCCTGATTCCCTCTCTTCAGGGTCTATTAAGTCTTTATTGATCTGTTCATTTCTGCTGATATGAATTCATACCGGACCAAACTGCTGACTTGGCTCTGCTAAAGAGACCCGATTAAATGAGGTCTATAAAACACACAAGTCTCTGTGTGTGTGTGGTCTCTTTTGTGAGTGCTTTCACACACGTCTCTGTCTGTGTGTGTGTGTGTGTGTGTGTGCATGTGTTTTTCACTGATTGTTATTTTAATCTTCATCACGTCTCTTTCCAGAACATTCACTCCCTGTTTCCGCCGTGTTGCACTCATTTCTCTTTTACCTTTTCCTCATCTCTTCCTCGTTTCTTTTTTCTGTATACCTCCTCTCTGCCCCACAACTGAACCCATGTTTAAAGCCTTCACACCTGCAGATACTCTAGCACCAGCTATAGCTAAAGGGTTTACACACACACACACACACACACACACACACACACACACACACACACACACACACACACACACACACACACACACACACACACACACACACACCGAAGGCTTTTAGTTATCACGCTAACAATATGTAGTCAGGAGCTGAGTCAACAACACAGTGTTGTTGAAGTTCTCAGGAGTATTTTATTGTGTGTGTGTGTGTTGGAGGACATATGGACATATTTGAGAACTCAGAGATCACTCTCAGAGCTTCTGGGAAACACATTTGGAGGCAGGTAGTGAACAGCTATACAGGATATTTGTGTGGAGACAGGCTTAGTAGTGATTCTTATGCTTCTATAGTCAACCTTTATACTCAGTCACATTTCTTCGTTTGTGTGTGTGTGTGTGTGTGTGTGTGTGTGTGTGTGTGTGTGTGTGTGTGTGTGTGTGTGTAGGTTCAGAAGGTCTGGGTTTTACCGTTGTAACCAGAGATTCTTCCGTCCACGGTCCTGGTCCTATTCTGGTCAAAAACATTCTGGCACGTGGAGCCGCTGTCAAAGATGGACGCTTGCAGTCTGGAGATCGCATTCTTGAGGTAAAGGGTAGCTTACTGTTAGCATTCATGAAATCATGACAACAAGAGATACAGATAAAGGTAGATCTGCCAAAGTGGGTGAGCAGCCGATCAGTCATGTGACCAAACAAATACACACATGCCGCATAATGGTGTTAACGATGCACACAGCGGCAAACACATAAACATCAAAGCCACACTCTCAGTTATGAAATACTGTAAAGTACTTTACTTGAGTATTTCCATTTCATGCTGTTTCATGGTCCTACTGACCAATATTGTTCTTTTTACTCAACTACATTTTCCTGACGGCTTTGGTTACTAGTTATTTTATAGCTTCATTTCTAAGCTAAAATAAAATACAAATAAACTGATAAATTAACTTTGATATATTAATAAAGGTTAAGATATTCAGCAGCAGTATACAAAGTAAATGAGTTTCGTATTTAGCGGGTGCTACGAACAAATGAATGCATCAATAGTCATATTCCAGTCATTTCATGTATTTGATTTTCAAATAGGCCTTTACACACAGTAAGTACTTTTACTTTTGTACTTGAGTAAGATTTTGAATGCAGGACTTTTACAAATGAAAAGTATGATTATGCGTCATGTCATCGGTTTGGAAGTTACTGAACGTCAATGAAGAAGACATCAACAAAATTACACTTATGCTGATAATGGTGATGTATTGACTTTCTGTTTGTATGTGTGTGTTTGTGTATTTAGGTCAACGGTGTGGATACCACAGGTGTGGGCCAGGAGGAGCTGGTGTGTATGCTCCGCAGCACGCGACAGGGAGAGAGTGTGTGTCTTGTGGTCCTACGGCAGGAAGACATGTTCCTGCCCCGAGAGATGGTAAGAACCAATCACAATGCTGCATTATCAGCCAATGAAACAAGATGTTGATTGGCAGGTCAGTGGCTAGTTAAACAATAGAAGAACTACTTAGGACAGGCGTACGCACAACTACATGAACCAGTTTGCAAATGTCCACTCCCTCTAATTATGCGGTTTCTCGTCCAACCAACAGGCTTGCCTTGATGATGCACAGCTCAGCAACCTATAGGAAATCGTCTTGTTATACGCAATATTATAATAATATTTTCTGAATTATTTTGAAAGATAACACATTTGCAGTCATGTTTTCTCTTACCACGCAATCATGTAACACAGCATTTCATAGAACTCCATTGTGATTGAATGAAACGAGACCATTGTAAAGCTTCTTCTTGATATTGGTAAACCATTTTGGGTAATCTTTCCTTTGCACTTGTTTCTGCTGAATTTCATCACTGTTTTCATTAATAAACACTTCTTTTATTCACCTTTGTTCTATTCTTCCATGCTTTGTCCTTTAATCTAACGTTGCATGACCAACCACTATGCATGTTTGTTTTCGCTCTCTTTAGACTTTTTCCAATCCCTGCTGTTGTTCGCTCTAAAAATCTATAAAAAAAAACAATTAATGAATGTTCCTTATTGAAATATATTCTGCTTTCACACTTAAGCATGTAGAGAAAGTCTGTAGCTCTTTGTCATTCACCTGAAAGGTGTTGTACTCTTGGAAGTGGTTCTTAAAGTGAGCTACCTAAAGTGAAATATTGATCATATGTTCAATTATTTGTTTTTTTTAATAACGTTTCACCCACTAGCTAGATTCAATATTTAAGTTTTCAAATATTCAAAAGTTACTAATATGACAACTCGTATGCATGTTATATTGGGTGTATATCATCCTATGAAGGGAGGCCATGGTCTAAAAGAGTTTGGGAACCACCGCTCTAATTCAAAACTTAATTTTTCCCTTCAACTTTGAAACCCGTATTTACACTTGCACAAACAGCATAACAACAAGTCTTGCTCTGTAAAACCACAAGACCTTATTTTATAATTTAGCCAGACTTACTTTTGTCTTCCCTCCACCTATCACTCATGTCTTTGGTTCACTGTATTTTATTCTTTATATGTTCACTTCTCTGTGTTTTTTCCCCTTTGTGTCTCTTTCCGCACTTATCGACTGGTGTTTCCTTAAAGGCTGCATGGAAGTTCCACACACACACACACACACACACACACACACACACACACACACACACACACACACACACACACACACACACACACACACACACACACACACACACACACACGCTTGCGACCCTGAGCCCCATAGGAAATTCTGTTTCTGCAGACAGGAAAAGGAGAGGTGTGTTGGGAGTGTGTAATGTACATGTGTTAACATCTCGGATCATTGGTGAGTATTGTATCTAGTCCAGATGTCCAGTTTCTTTTTGTACGCATGTCTGAACTCCATGGCAGTCTTCTTTGTCTACTTATCATGATGTTACGTGTGTTCTTTCAAAACCTCTCTCTGACAGTAGCACTTAGTAGTACTTTGTCTACTTCCAGACTGTTTCATGGCAAACAATACTAGAAAGCTGCAATGAAGCACATTTGAAAGGGGTGTGAATCTGTGTGATTGTTTCTTTAATCTGGGGGAAATAATGATCACTTTCTAAATCTAAAATAGGTGTTTGACTGATGAACTAATTAGGAGAAAAATGACAGTTAAGTGCTAATGCTTATACATTTAACTGAGGTTTCTACATTATTTGCTGCTAGCATATATGGCTTATGACATTATACTATATTTACAAAATCCCTCTACCTCACTACCTGAAACCATCCGCCTCATAAACACCTTTTCTGAATTATCCGATTATACTATTAAATGGTCTAAATCAACCCTTCCTCCACTCTCATCTAATAGCCTTCTTTTCTGCGTACTGGTAATTGTACTTACTTAGGAATCAACATTTCCCCCAGGCTGACATAATTAGTACATCTGAACTTCACCCCACTTCTCAAAACAATAGAAGACAACCTTCAACGTTGGATGAATCTCCCAATATCCCTTATAGGCAGAATTGCAACAGTCAAAATGACCATACTCCCAATGATAAATGACCTATTCTCAATGATCCCTATCAAACCCCCACCCACTTGGTTCAAATCTATAGACTCTGCCATCTCAACATTTTACTGGTAAACACAAAACACCTAGAATCAAACTATCTACTATTCAAAAACGCAAGAGTCAAGGTGGCTTAGAAGCACCAAACGTTCTGCATTACTTCATTGCCCAGCAACTACAATACATTTACAAATGGACTAATCCTAATCATTCCGACACCTCCTGGTTAGACATTGAACAAACATTGTCCAAAGATATTCAGACTTACCGTTCATAAGCCACCCCATCATACGTCATCCATAATAATAATAATACATGGGACTTTTATAGCGCTTTTCATGAAACTCAAAGACGCTTTGACAGAGAGTTAAGAACAATAAAGACAAGAGAAAACAAAACAAACAAAAAAAAATAGATAACAAAGAAATACAAAAAGAGATAAACAAAACAGAAAATAGGGGGGAGGGGGGTGGTCAGTGGTTGAATGCAGTGTTGAACAGGTGGGTTTTGAGTGATGTTTTGAATGCTGTGAGGGAGGAAGAATCTCTGATGGATTGGGGTAGTGAGTTCCAGAGGGTGGGTGCCGCAACGGAGAAGGCTCTGTCGCCCCAGGACTTGATGTTGGTCCGGGTGGGGAGGGACAGGAGGTTGGCAGTAGCAGAGCGGAGGGAGCGAGTGCTTCAAAAACCCTGCAATAGCCACAACTCTGAAAGCCTGGTGGACATTTTACGAATTAACACAATTTCACCCACCGAACACACTCCCATCTGGAACAATCCTGACTTTCTAATAAACAGAAAACCTTTACATTTCAAATCATGGATTGCCAAAGGCATCACACACCTCAAACATATATTTCATGAACACAAGTTAATTCCATTTTCTGATTTGGTCCAGAAGTACGGCATCAGGGAACATCAATATTTATAATATTTACAACTCAAATCATCCATTCAAACCAAAGTTAACAGCAAAACGTTGAACTCTTATCCCCCCTCAGAAATATTCCAAATCAAATTAAGAATAAAACTGCTTTCAAAAATATATATATAAATTAATTTATTCTGCAGACTTAACAATGTCCATCCCCTCAAATAAATGGGAAAAAGATCTACAGATCACCGAGCGCCGACTTCTGGTCTCAAATCTGCAGAAACATCTTCTCCATATCAGCCAACACCAACATGCACCTCATACAATATAAGATTATTCACAGAGTGCACTACACAGGTGAAAGGATGTTTAAAATGGGTTTTGTAGTTTCTCACATCTGTCCTCATTGCTCACTTAACACCACAGACACCTACATGCATGCCACATGGGAATGCACACCAGTTAAGCCATTCTGGCATAACATCACTGACAACCTCTCTCTTTTGCTGGACTGCCACATCCCTCTTCTTCCATCCCTTTGTTTACTAGGAGACATTTCCAATGTGAACATCAACATTACATCAAGTAGAATTCTGTCCATAGCCCTAATCATTGCAAAAAAAACTATCCTCATTAATTGGAAATCACGACACAAAAGCAATATCACAATTTGGAAAAACCTGCTTATAGAATACATTTCAATGGAAGAAGTATCTGCTGGCATAAAACAACAAACCAATGATATTGATGCAATCTGGAACCCATTTATTGAAACATTTAATTAATAATCCTCAATCCGATTTCACCCACCACCCCTTTCTACTTCTTTAAGGTAATGCTACTATTTATATCCCCCCCCTTCCTATGATATATGACTATTAACTAACTATATTAATAACTATTATTGTTACTCATTTCATTTTAATTATAATTTTGTCATTTATTACTCTCTTTTTGTCCAATCCCCCCCCCCCCACACACACACACACACACACGCGCACACACACACACACACACACCGTTTTTGTTTTCTTTTTTTGTATATTTTGTTATTTGTCTTGTATACTTGTAAATGCTCCTTATTAAAAAAAAGAATAGTCAAATCACATCTATAATCAGAAAAAATACTCCATACACATTCAGAACCGGAGTACACTTGGAAATCGACTTTACAGGCAGAACAGAGATTCATTATCAACAATACAATGTCATTTATACATTTGTACACTTACGACATGTCCAAATTGCACTATAGTGTTGCTGGTTTTATTTTCCAACTTGACAAGATTTTAAATTTAAGTTGTTTTTTGTAAAATGTCACCATATGGGTACTCCACCAAAATATACCTCACCCGCCAGGAAACAGAACCCCCTTTAGTCCTGTATTATTCATACACACGCTCAGGGAAAGAAATGTCCTAGTATTGTCCTTGGGTATACACAATTACACACCGAAACATCTCCCATAGGTAAAGTATTGTCTCCATCTATTTGGAGGTCTGCTTAAAACCAACCAACGATTCAAGGACACTGCTGCAGTTTGACTGTGTTTATAGATGTGTGACAGCAATTGGGTATGTTGTGTTTGTGTGTTCAAGGAAATACATTTCGTATTGTGAGAGGCATTATTTATTTTGTCTTAGCTTTAAGGATATTTTGTTAGTCAGGAGATGCAGGTTCTCGGTCTGAAACAAAGCAAACAAGATTGATTTGACTGCAACTGCATAGTACATGCAGAACTAAGGCCTTTATGCAAACAATTGTCAAAACCTAATTATTTCATGATGTCAGAATTCATTTGAGCTAATCTGTGTTTAATTGTATGATTCTTAAGAAGTGTATCTCTCCTACTGCAGATATCCATAGATTCGCAGTGTGTCAGAAAGACCTTTTGGCTTTCTTCATTGCAACAGTGATACTGCTAATATACGTGTTGGGGATATCTAAATACATTCTTTAAATGTGAGAACTAGAGTTTCTGCTGCTGTTGCTGAATTTAAATTAATGA